GTGTATGATGAGTGGTGTATGATGAGTGGTGTATGATGAGTGGTGTAAATGTTCGTAACACGGAAGTTCCTCTAAACTTCCTTTGAATAGCGATATTTTGCAGATCTCATCAAAAGCAGATCTGACTCCAAAGGTCCAGAAGCTTGAGATTTCCTGATATGCTTGTTCAACTTGTTCTGTGTCTCCCGCTGAAACATCTTTTGCAAGGTGACCACCGCAAAATCGCTCCCGTCTGTCTTGAGACGAGCAATGATCTCCTCACTCATTTGAGCATCTGCCAAAACGTAGTGTCCAGCTGTCAAGTAGAGGGCATTCAGAAAGGCTATGCTTTTGAGGGGGGCCTACCGCTTTTAGCGGGTTTGTTCGCCCAAATTCCTGAAAATCACGACCGCTCGCTACTGAATTAGTCATCGCACATTTTGGCGGTTGCTCCACGCGATGAGTGCATGAAAAACGCCTCAACCAATAAAAATAATCAGATAATCACAATAATCACGCCCTGGAATTCAACAGTAGATTCACAAGCCTGACGGAATCACTATGGTTCTGTCACGTTCTATCCACGGAGCGTTGATGTCACTCTGAAGATTTCTAGGCAGGTGGGCATAGTTTGGGTCTCCTCCACAGACGGAGCACTGAAGCACCTGGCAGTTGATACGAGCACACACACAATGGCCGCTGCCGTTGGATTTGGCCTTTCAGGTGTCACCTGAAGTCAATGCTTGGACTTCTCAAAGATTGTATGTAGCGCCTTTCGATCACCTCGATGTTTTCATCTATCAGCAAGCAGTCAGCCCCTGGAGTCCCACTGTTAGATTGAAGCATTCATCAAGAGCGGTTGCAATGGTGGACAATCTTTTTGGCCCACCTGATGGTTCAGCACTTGCGGCAACTTCTCGAATGGTGTCCTGGAAGCATCAAAGGAAAGGTCATTGGCATGTAATGATGCTTGATGTTTCAATAGACAATCATAAAGCAACACAAACATGGGAGTTGCAAAACAAGGTCACAGCATGATTACTGGCCCTGGGGCTTTGGATGCATCGGAGCAAGTTGGTTGGCCGCCGCTGTAAAGCGTGTTTAGGTTTTAACCACTGTTCTTTTAGCTATTTTTTACCGTTTTAGTGTGTTTTCTCCAAGGGCCCTCCGCATTCAATGAGCTATGCGCCAATGATCACGGACTTTGCATTCTCGCATCGGTTTCACAGTTTGGCTGAAGCAACAGGAGAGTATAAAATATACAGTAGCTCATGAGACATGCATAAAAAAGGTTGCCCAGATTTCCTATCTTCATATTGGCGAAGCTGTTTTGTTAAGTCTATGTCAGTATAGGTTTGCCATGTTTTACGTCACGACCTGGCCCACCCAGCCAAGCCGTAGTTAGTTCGCCGCAATCAAAACATCTGGCCAAGTAACACCAAAAAGATCCCAAGAAGCAAGAAAAAGAAAACACCGAAAGCCACAGTTGCTAACGATGCCTGCGCGCCTTCTAAGGCATTGAGGTCAGCAGAGGTTTTTGTGTTTCTCGGGAGTTACCTTTGACCTGTCACTTTGGCTTTGCCTGCGCAGGGCCATCGCTAGTAGGTTGGAGGCCATCGCTACTAGGTCGGAGGCCATCACCAGTAGGTTTGGTGCCATTGCTATTAGGTTGGAGGTCATCGCTAGGTTGGAAGCCATCGTTGGCTAGGTTGGAGGCCATCGCTATTAGGTTGGAGGCCATCGCTAGTAATTAGATTGGAGGCCATCGCTAGTAGGTTGGAGGCCATCGCTATGATTAGGTTGGAGGCCATCACCAGTAGGTTTGGTGCCATTGCTATTCGTTGGCTAGGTTGGAGGCCATCGCTATTAGGTTGGAGGTCATCGCTAGTAGGTTGGAGGCCATCGCTAGCAATTAGGTTGGAGGCCATCGCTATGATTAGGTTGGAGGCCATCGCTATGATTAGGTTGGAGGCCATCGCTTTGATTAGGTTGGACGCCATCGCTATGATTAGTTTGGAGGCCATCGCTATGATTAGGTTGGAGGCCATCGCTAGGGGGTTGGAGGCCATCACTAGTAGGTTTGGTGCCATCGCTATTAGGTTGGAGGACATCGCTAGGTTGGAAGCCATCGTTGGCTAGGTTGGAGGCCAACGCTATTAGGTTGGAGGCCATCGCTAGTCGGTTGGAGGCCAGTTGGAGGCCATCGCTGGTAATTAGGTTGGAGGCCATCGCTAGTAATCAGGTTGGAGGCCATCGCTATGATTAGCTTGGAGGCCATCGCTATGATTAGGTTGGAGGCCATCGCTAGGGGGTTGGAGGCCATCGCTATTAGGTTGGAAGCCCTCCCTATTAGGTCGGAGGCCATCGCTAGTAGGCTGGTGGCTATCGCTAGGTTGGAGGCCATCGCTATCAGCTTGGAGGCCGTCCCTATTAGGTTGGAGGCCATCGCTACTATATTAGGTTGGAGGCCATCGCTACTATATTAGGTTGGAGGCCATCGCCATCGCTATTAGGTTTGAGGCCATCGCCATCGCTATTAGGTTGGAGGCCATCGCTAGCAGGTTGGAGGCCATCGCTAGTAGGCTGCAGGCAATCGCTATTAGGTT